CTCCTCCCTCCTCCTCCTCCTCTCCTCCCACCTCCAGCTCCCCTCCTCCTCCTCCTCCTCCTCCTCCTCCTCCTCCTCCTCCTCTCTTCCTCGTCCTCCCCCTCCTCCACCTCCTCTTCCTCTTCCTCCTCATCCTTTTCCCCGTCCTCCTCCATATCCTTCTCCTCGTCATCCTACTCCTCCTCCTCCTCTTCATCATTAGCATCATCATCATCACCATCATCATCATCAGCAGCATCATCAGCATCATCATCATCACCCTCCTCCTCCTCCTCCCCTTCCTCCTTTTCCTTGTCCTGCTCCTGTTCCCCCTCTTCCTCCTCCTTATCCTCCATGTCCTCGTTTACTTGTTATTATTATTCGTTCGTTCTTTCTGATTTGATAAATAGCATTAGTACGGATCAACTTGAAATTACCAGTGGCCCAATTGTATACATATGTTTGCTATCAATAGCATCAGCAGCGTGAATAACAGTAGTACTACATCTGCTGGTACTAATACGAGCTTCACGTCCGTTGTGAAGACCGAGCTTTCGGGATGCTTTCGAGACCGGGCTGGCCCCACAAAGACGGTCGGCGGATATGGCGTCAGCCGTAAGAGTTGCGCACTAAAAAGTATGCGTTCACTTTCTACATGGAAGACGATGCTTGATCTGCGCGAACACATTCTCGTCGGGGATGCGGACCTCACCTTGCCACCATGAATACGATAAGTAGGTGTCAAGACCGTGGTAGCCGCGTTCATAATACTCGCTTGACGTTCGGGCTTTGATGAGGGGTAGCGACGACCGAGATACGGCCAGGCAGTGAGCGCCGCAGATGAGCCACCTAGTTCTGTCATCGAAACCGAGCAAGACGGGAGCGCGAGCTGCGGGGGACCCGAGCGCCCGCTGCAACGAAGCAGCGCCCTGGCCGGCTGCCAGACGGGCGTCGCCCTCCACGCAGAGAGCGAAGCGCAGCGACGGGTCGGCGTCGAACTCGCCTTGCGCCCTCTCAAGGAACGCGCGGTGGAAAGCCAGCATAACGCACTGGTTCGGTTTCACCTTGTCGGGCAAGCGGGCGCCCTGGAACTTCGCCAGGCCGCCGCAAAGATCGCACCCCTGCATGCGATGTACCCGCGTTGGATCGATGCCCGCAGCCATAAGATTGGACCGCGCGGCGCTGACCATACCGTCGCTCCGCTCTCGGCGAAAGGGCAGAGAACGTACGCGGCCAGCGTCGAACCCAACGAAACTGACGCTTCGGGGCGAACCTGCTTCCATTTCTGGCGGGCGGCCCGGCGCGCCGCGGCCTTGCCGCACCTCCCCCGCAATGAACCTCACGGACGCGTCGATTCAAGGAAAATTAAACCAAAGCGGCCGTGGACCCCCAGAATCGACGAGAGCGTTTCGCGCATTTCTGGCACGGCATTTTGATACGCGCGCGGCGCCCACCGACTCGCAGCGAGTCGCGACGACGCGCGACAGCAGAAAGGTTTGAATTGGAGCCGGACTGGAGCCAGAACGGCCACGGATGATGATGAAGACCCCCGCCACGCTGGACGCCGACTGCCTCCTGGAACCCCTGGGCAGCGGCCCTTCGAGGCCTCCCACGAATTCCACCAGCCCCAAGAGTCGCACAGGAGAGCCTCAGGGCGGAAAATGCAACGCAACAGTCACGACCCGAACACTCGACCCCATCGCCTGGGGCATTTCTCTGGCCGGATCGATCCGCAAGTCCCAAGGCCCGAAATTTAGATATCCGACGTCGAATTTTTTCCCGACGCGAAGCGCCCGGAAGTCCGGGCAACTTCCCGGAGCCCCCCACGAGATTAACATCTGCCTCCAACATGCCCCCAGTGAAGTCCCCCACGACACCCAGGGAGAATCAGAGAGGCTCGCGACCCACAGGCCCGGCGCGGCGGCGAGAGCTGCCGCAAGCAACTCGATGAGAAGAGACCCTGCCCCGAAATCTGGTCCAAACAGGTGGAAACGGGACCCCAACCGCTCGTCGGCGTCGTCGACCTCGTCGCCCTCGCCTTCGCCGTCGACATCATCGCGGCCGCCGTCCTCGCCCGGACAAAACGCGCCCCCAGACCGCCCACGAAGTGCAGACGCATCCGTTATCCGAGCCGCCCTGACATCGGATCCAGACGAACTCTCCTAATGTCGCGTTCAAACCCGCGCCTAACGCGGCCGGTGAAAACGATTCTGGCACCTCTAGGGCGCCCGTCGTCCAAGATCGATTTCCGACGGGCCCGGAACCCCAGCGCGGCCTCCAGAGGCGAGTAAACAACCACTACTGCCGCTGGAGTTTCTGCGCGCCGAACGATGGAGACTCGCGGCAAGCACGAAAGGCCCAAACTGAGAAACGCGATACCCGACATCATCTAAAACTCAAAAACAGGTGCGGCATTTAGGTGCATCATGGGTGCCACTTGCGCGCGCGGCGAAATGCATGTTCACATTCTACCTCGCACATATAAGTGATTCGGGATTTGCGGTTGACGGTCTCCACCGAATTGTCACAGGTGGCGCGGGATCTGCTTTGCGAGGGCTTTCTCTGTCGTTGCTTCCTGTCCCGACGCCGGCACGCTGCAGGCCGGCGCACACACAAGCGCGTCGTTCGGCAGACTATGCAACGCAGCGCCTGCAAAAGATACATTCGCAGGTTCCCGACGCGACGCCTGCACAGCGCACGCTAATCCACGCGTAAATGTCAGGACAGACCAGGCAAAACCGCGTCTGCAAACGGTGCGCACACAGGCTTGCGTCGCGACGTCTGCACGGCGCGAGCAGTTCTCAACGCACGCATGCACAATAACAAACGCGCCTGCAAAAAAGTACACATCTAGGCTTGCGACCCGATATCTGCACAAAGTGGGGTGATCTACTCATATACATGTTCCAACGCAGGCTAGAAATGCCGCGCCAGCAAGCCGTGAAATTGCAATCGCACGCGACGAATTCTGCGCAATCGAACCTGAACTACTCATATACGACTGTTCGGTAGAATGGGCAAGCCGCCAGTCCAGCAACACGCGTCTTCGTAGTGTCACCGGTTCAACAGGCTCCCCCCCCCCCCCCTCGCCCCACCCATCCTCGCCCCCTTCCTCTTTCCGCGCGATGCGCCATGGAGGCCGCCCGCAGTCTAGGGGAAGCCGCGTCTGCTAATATTACATCTCAAGCGTTCGCGTCGACACCCCTACGCCAGTCGCGCCGGTTGCTGCCAGGGCCACGATGCGCGCTTTAATTGACCTGCAATCTCATGCAAGAGTCCATTGTCTTGCTGCCGCCTCTCTGCAGAAACCGTTTTACGCGTCGTGCTCTTCATGCGGCCCTAAGCTTGACAACCGAGGCGGGGCTTCTGCGTTGTGACCCCTTGAGTGCGAAACTTACAGAGTAGCGAGTTCTCAATGTCATAATAGTTCAACGCATAAGACCACTGCAACTGCACCATGACACGCGCTGAACTGAACCCGCTGCTTTCGAATGCCACCTGCCGCACTTTCTTGATGCTGCCCCTCAATCCAGGGAGGCAGTGGCCATCGTGCGCTTTCCACTCGCACGGCCTGCACTGCAAGATGACACTGATCACTGCACACAACTCAAAGACTGGCATGCCCGCTACAATACCTGGAGTTGGAGCAACTTTGATGGCCATTGCTCTAGCTCAGGATATATGTTTGAAGCACCATACGCTAGCTATTAGAAGATCGAAAAGGAACATGAAAAGGCATCAATCTCCGCGACGTCGCGAGGCGCGCCCGTTGACGGAGCCGGCGGGGGATGGCTAGCCTGGCTGCCAGAAGCTTATTACTCCGACCGTGATCATTCTCACCATCGGGACGGGTGCCCTTCTCACTCGGCCTCAAGACTTCTCCTGCGCGGAAGACAACGGGCGCGCTCATTCCTGCAGCGGCGCCCCGGCCGAGACCGCAAATCATCAGCGCGCGTTCAGGACCGTCTTCTGCGTCTTCTCGCCAGGGCACGCGGAGGACCGTCGGGCCCTCATTTTTCGCCCCGAGACTCTGACCAAGATTCCAACCCATCTTGTGCAAACGGGCCATGCCCTCCCTTGCCCAAACCAAGACTTTGGAGGTATCTGCGGTTTCTGGGTCGTCTTCAATCCTGCAGTGACAATCTGCAACATTGCTTTCCGTTTCTTTGCCCCCATCAAATCCAAAGCTCTCGAAACGCGCCCTTGTGTGCCACAACGAATGAAACTGCTTGCCCGAATGGAACCGACGCGACAGAAATGCATCGGGAACAGCGCCCTCTCCGTCTCGGATGCTGACACAAAGACCTATATTGCACATCGCGAGGATGCGACCCTCCGTCAGCCCGTCTGCACTGACGCCTAGGCTCATTATGCGCAGCAGGACTGGTTGTCGGGCTGCGGCGCTGGCAGAGGATCTCCTGTCAGGAGCACCCTGTCCAGAGTCTCCTGCAGCTCACAAAATCCGGGCCCTTTGCTCCGCGCCCTCCGCGCTGGCGCAGCGGCCCTTGCTGCGGTTTTCTCAATCCGACGAACCCTCTAGGCGTCGGTGGCGTAGAAAATTTCCCCTTACAACATATGTCCCCCGCCTCAGATGGCGGCCCCCCCCTCCGCCCACGGCCCCTCTCCAGGCCCTGAACGACGGAGGCGAGGAGCGGCCACAGCGTCCAAAGTGGCCATTGAAAGCTCCACTGGCGCCTAAGATGCACCCCACCATTCCCGAGACAGCCTCAGACAGCCTCAGAAATCCCAAAAGTCATCCCAGGAGGCTCATATTCGCCTTCTTTCCTGCTACTCACCCTCACTCTCCTCTCCCCCCCCCCAGCCTTCTGACCGGGGCCCCCTGGGCGGCCACGACGCCCCCCTGGGATTCTGCTTCCACGGCGGCTCGAGCACACCATCGAGGCCGCCCAAAACGGCTCCAAGACAGATCTAGAGCGATCCGAGACGCCGAAAGTGGCCCCGACGCGGGCCGAGAGCTCTCAGCAGGAAAACAAAAACAAGAGAGAGAGAGAGAGAGAGAGAGAGAGAGAGAGAGAGTGAGAAAAAAAAATTAGAGAGAAAGAGAAACGAGATGCCCCCCAGGAGGACCCAAAGAGGCAAATTGTTCGAAGTTCAATATGTTGTTTTTTCCACGTTCCCCCCGATGCTTAAAATTTCGAGATTCCGGCGACCCAAAACGGACGGCACTGGGGCCCCCAGACAGCCGCGGGAGTCCTCCGATGGCACAAGAGAACCCAAAACGGTCAAGAAACACCCGACACGGACAACGAAAGGCTCCAGACGGCCCGAAGAAGGCCCCAAAAGAGAAACGCGACCCGACGATTCGCTCCCCCCGCCCGAAGAAACCTTCAGGAGGCTCGAAGGGGCCTCTGAGAACCACCCCACAAGGCACGCAAAAGGCGCCCGAACAGGCCCCCAAAAGGGAATGAGAGGTGCATCAAGAGAGCCCTCGACAAGCTTCTCGTCGATGCCCCGACGAAGATCCAACAGCCTTCCGGAGACTGCAAGACAATCGCCACCGAGCATGCTGGACTGACACGGTGGCGGAACTTGCCACAACTACTGGATATCAAACTTACTGTGAAACACTTTGGAGTAATCGTTATGGAAACACTGGTAACGCCGATCAATATGCCAGACTTTCAAACGCATGAATACGTCTTTCAGCAATGCAAGTTCACCAGGCTCTGCCAGCGGAAGTTTCGACCCCGCACATCTCGCATTCGCATTGAAAGCAGCCCACAAACAACGATTCGCACACGATCCATACACCACACGAAAAACCTGCGGAGTCACACCGGGAGCTATTGCAGCAGAAGCTTCCGAAACCCGGGCGAGAGGTCGAACGCGCATCGTCGGATTTGGAAAACGACATCCTTCACGGGATGGCCGGGCCGCAAGACCACGCGCGGACCAGGAGAAGAACTGGGCCTGTCCAGACCCCAAAACGCCACCAAGAGAAAGCACCGGCGCCTCCTGCCCTACCCCCCCCCACCCTCTGTGTCTACAAAAATGGAGGAAGAGAATATTAGGGGGCCCTCTAAGGAAGACCGCGTCTGCGAACGGCCCAGAAATGAACGCGCGTCGCGATGTCTGCACACTGTCGGTTGATCTACACGTACACTTATGTCTGGGCAGACTGGGCACCACCGCGCCTGCAAACGAAACGAGCCCGGGCGCGCGTCGCGAC